AAGGCAGACGTCCTTGCATTTTAATTTCCTGGGGCTTTAAAGAAATGAAGAAAGAAGAGAGAAGACAGCAAATAGAAACGGAGACAGAAAAGGAAGGAAAAAGAAGAGGAGAAAAGAAAAATAGAAGAGAGAGAAATAGGAAGAGAAGAAAAGTAGCCTTTTTAAACCGAGGATCTGAGTCCACTGGTTTGGCTCTTAAGGAGGTGAACTAATTGGCCTATGAAAACAAGCTGAATACATTCTCTAAGGCACACACAGCCTGGCCATGAAATTCTAAACTCTCATAACCTCCAAATCCTTAATCATTTCTTTCTTCAACCTTGGTTTGGCTTTCCTGCCTCAGAGAGGGTGGTACGTCTGCCAAATTCATGGGAGAGTCCTTTTTATTTTTAAGAGATAGGACCACAATAAAGAGTAGACTTTATTTTTTTAAGAGTAGAAAGTGAACCTCTTGCCCTAATCACCTCCATTGTACTATTTTAAATAAAATGAAAAACCCAAAGCCAAAATTGTTAAAACATAGCTGATGCAACCATGTTCAAACTGGCCAAGAAAAATTTCATCTTTGGACTGAAATAAGTAACTTTAGCTGGTTATAAAGAAAACGCTGAAAGACTGAAAAGCGCAGATGGTAGTTAAGAGAGAAAAGATAATGGGAATAACTGTTCCCCAGGTTGACTGGCCTGCCCAGTGATGACACAGATGAAGGATTCCAGTTTCCCAGAACCAACCTGCCCCTGGGGGTGTGGGCCTCCTTGGAGGAACAGCCAGAAGGGGTGTGGAAAGGCTGCTGTGGGAAGCTCTGGGCAGGAGCAGGGAAGTCTGGGAGTACTCGGGACCCGGGCTCTGGCACTGGTTGGAGAAAGGGTTTATTACTGGATGGATTTAGACTTTCTCAGAACATAAAGAAGGAAGCATCTAAGCTCTTCTACAGACCTCCCGTAACACCGATAACCAAACCTGGTAAAGATAGTGCAATCATCCTGTAAGTATTCTGTAAAAAAAAAAAAGATAGTGCAATAAAAGCCAAGTATAGATCAGTCTGATTTATTTACTGACACAAAATCTTAAAATATTAGCAAATAAAATTCAGTAATACATTAACAGAATAATAAACCAGGCCCGAATAGGAGTTCATACCCTAAATTTAAGGATGGGTTAATATTAAGAAATAAATTCACTATGAATGGACTAAAGGAGAAGAATCATGATCATCTGGAGTTTCTGAAAAGTACTTTAACAAAAATCGAATCTCTAAGTGAAAAAAATAAATATAAATGGACATGACTTGATAGCATAAAAACACATCTCAAATAAGAGTGCCTTCGAGTGAAACCCTAGACGCATTACCGTTAAAGTTAGGGGTGAGGTAGGCTGATACTGCTTTCAGCACTATGATTTAACACTGTTCTGGAGTCTTGGCCAGTGCCATGTGGTAAGAGAATTAGGAAAAATTAAAACGAAAAAGGTAAAATGAGGATTTTTTGCAGACAATATGGTTATATTCATAGAAAGCCCTGGAGAATCAACTGACAGACTATTAGAAATAGTAAGAAATTTCTTTAGGATGTCTTAAAATATATATATACATACACACACACACACACACGCACACACAATAAGTAGTTTTCTTAAATATAAAGACCATATGAGAAAAAAGACTACATTAACAATTGCATCAAAAAGAGAAAAGACAGAAGTAAACATAGCAAATACATAGCATGCCAAATAATTACATATTAATTACAAAAACCCCCACATATGTTGTGTATCTGAAATTTGACAGTAATACATAGAACATTAAGAAAAACAGGCAGAAATGCTCAAGACATTTTTTGGAAAAAAAATAAGTAAATAAACAAGAGGTTTATAATTACTAAAAAGGAGAGGGACAAAAGGTTTTTTGTTTTTTTTTTTTTGCATATGACATGATCGTATATACAGGAAGTCTAAGAGGATCAACTGACTATTAGTAACATTAAGAAATTTCTACAAGCCCTACTAGATATTAAAATACATTACGGGCTGGGATTGGGGCTCACGCCTATAATCCCAGCATTTTGGGAGGACGAAGTAGGTGGATTACTTTCGGTCAAGGGTTTGAGACCAGCCTGGACAACATGGTAAAACCTGTCCCTACTAAAAATACAAAAAAGTAGCCGGGCAGTGGTGCACATCTGTAATCTCAGGTACTCGGGAGGCTGAGACGGGAGGTGGAGGATGCAGTGAGCTGAGATCGTGCCACCACACTCCAGCCTGGGCAACACAGTGAGACTCTGTCTCAAAGTAATAATAATAATAATAATACATTATGAAGTTAAAATAAAGTTTGATACTGAAAAAGAAATCGCCTAATTAACTAAACAGAATGGAGCCAGAGAAAAAACACCTAACACATATAACATATTGAACAGGCTCTGTAGTAAGTTTATGTTTACACATACTAACTCATTTAATCTTACAACAACTCTGTGAAGTGGTTACTACAATTATCAACACTTTACCGATAAGTAAAATGAGGCCAACGCAAATTCAGTGGCTTGTCCAATGTTGTACAGCTAGTAAGTAGCAAGACCAGTAGTGCTATATGCTCTTTATCATAGCATTATTTGTAAACTGGGAAAAACTTATAAATTTCTTACTATATATATGTACATATATATACAAATAAATTCTAGAATATGCAAACTTTTTTGCCCCTTGAAGAGAACATAAGAAATCATGCAATTTGTGGGCAGGGGGAAGTGGAAAAAAAAAGAAATTATGCAATTTACAGCCAAAAGAATCATCCTACATGACAGACCATGTGGAGTGCGGAGTGACAAGACCGAATTTATAATTTAATTTCTATTTTGAGAAGACTCCTCTGGCTGCTGAGGGAGGAATGTTCTGGGGGTGGGAGGTGAATCCAAGATGATTAAGATGGTAGCAGTGGAGGAGATGTGGGCAGATTTGGGATAAAGTTCTGAAACTAGAACCAAAGGACTCGGTGTTGAGTTAGGAAGGGGTCTGTGAAAACGAGAGGAATCAGAGATGACTTTTTAGGTTTGTGGCCTAAAGCAGCTAAACAAAGGGGGATGCTGTTTAGTAGGATGACAATTATTTTAGGAGGAGGTGGTGGTTACTGGTGGCCTGGAAGGAGAATTTAGGTTTGGACACGTTAGGTACAAATGGTCAGACAACCAAGTGGAGATCCAAGCAGGAGATGACCACACAAATCTTAAGCTTGGGGAGGGAGTTGGGGCTGGATGCCTAAATTTGGGAATCATAAGCATGACCTTGACATTTAAGGCCATGGGCCTGAATGACATCATTTAGGGAGCGAGTATAGATGGATAAGAAAAGTCTCAGGTCTGGCCCTGGGCTGAGGTGGGGATGGGTTCAGGGTGTGCTCTGACAGATAGAGGGAGAAAAGGATGGAACTCAGAGGACCCAGGGAAGCAGGACTTCCAGGGACATGGGTGACCCAGAGCCAAACGAAGAAAGTATTTCAAGATGAAGTGAGTCAACAGGTGTTCCTCAAATACTGAGAGAGGCCAATTAAGAAAAGAATGGAGAGCTGGCAACTGAATTTAGCAGATGGAAGTTACTGGTGGCCTTGGGCCAGGGCAGTTTTAGGAGGAGGTTCCCAAAGCTCAACGGGGTGGGTCAAGAGAAAATAGGAGGTGAAGTGATGAAAGAAAGTACAAGTGTTCTGAGTTTTGTTCTAAAGCTGGTTTCTTAGATTAGTGGGTATCAAACCAACTAGTATGTTACAGAAACGGACTAGAGATTAGGTTGCAAAATAGAAAAATTGTTTTCAAAGCCCAGATTTTATTTTGCTTTATTATTTATTTATTTATTTATTTTTAAATTTTTTTTGAGGCGGGGTCTCGCTCTGTCACCCAGGATGGAGTGCAGTGGTGCGATCTCAGCTCACTGCAACCTCTGCCTTCTGGGTTCAAGCGATTCTCCTGCCTCAGCTTCCTGAGTAGCTGGCATTACAGGTGTGCGCCACCATGCCCAGCGAATTTTTTTGTATTTTTAGTAGAGACGGGGTTTCACCTTGTTGGTCAGGCTGGTCTCGAACTCCTGACTTTGTGATTCACCTGCCTTGGCCTTCCAAAGTGCTGGGATTACAGGCGTGAACCACTACCCCTAGCTTTTATTTTTAAGCATTAACATGCTTTATTATTTAATGTGTTATTTTAATGTTATAAAATATTCACAGTGCAAGCATTCACATATCTAAAGAAGAAGGCTGAGGCTTTAAGAGGTTAAATAACTTGTTTAAGGTTACATAGATAGACAATGATAGGGCCAGTATAGATGCCAGGCAATGTGTTTCTAAAGCTCATACCAAGAAAAATTCAAGCACTGGTAGTTAGCAGGGACTAGCAGATTGTAGACTGCCAGAGTTAACATGAGTCCTTCATTTAACTCTTGGTTACTGTCCCCAATTCCAAGTTCTTATTACATCTAAAAGGTTTTTTTTGTTTTTTTTTTGAGACAATCTCGCTCAGTCACCAGCCTGGAATGCAGTGGCGTGACCTCAGCTCACTGCAACCTCCGCCTCCCGGGTTCCTGCCTCACGCTCCCGAGTAGGTGGGACTACAGGTGCACACCATCACGTCCAGCTAATTTTTGTATGTTTAGTAGAGACAGGGTTTCACCATGTTGGCCAGGATGATCTTATCTCTTGACCTCGTGATCTGCCCACCTCGGCCTCCCAAAGTGCTGGGATTACAGGTGTGAGCCACTGCACCCAGCCTATAAAGGCTAATTTTTAAAAAGCAAATAGTCTTCTTTTTTGAGGACTGAGAACAAACACAAAATACATGCAACAGTTACCAAGTTTCCAGGTTAATTAACAAAGTATCTTAAGCTATGAACTCTCTGGACTACAGGATCCATCAGTTTAATGAAACAAATAATTCAGCTGAGAACAGACAGTTATGATGGGACATAAAGCACTAAGAGCGTCAGGTGGTGATGCTCTGCCCGGGCACACCAGCACCTACCTGTGGTCTGCACTGGATTTCTGTCTCCCAGTCCACAGTCTTCTGTTCACAGAGGAAGGTGGGGGAGAGGAGGGCAGAGGTGGGGGAGGTAGAGAGGGCAGAGGAGGCAGGTTTCTTTTCTCTTTCCTGAAGCCGATGCCAGGCTTCCCCTCTTTGTCCCCTTCTCCAGCATGTTTGAACGTTCTCCGGGGTTTTGGTGGGGGGTTGATGAAGGGCTTTGTGAGGGAGCCCTCCCAGCCCCTGTACACATTCTCAAGGCTCCGGTCCCAGGGCTTTCTGCATGAACCTTTCCTGTCCTCCACAGCCTCGGGGGCAGGCTCCCTGCCTTCCAGGTCCGAGAAGTGGACCCTCTGGCTGACTTCTGAGCCATTCCCGCCTACCAGGTTCTCAGGAAGGGTGGGCCCCGCCTCTGCCTTGTCAGGTGGGCAGTGTGGGGAATAACAGGTCCCTGGCAACTGGGGATCCAGCCCTGCCGACCCGTCCTTCAAAGCCTGCTCGAGTTTCTTGACCTGCTTCAGCACTGAGAGGTGATCATTCTGAAAGCGTAGCTTGCCAAGTCTTGGCTCTCGGCCTCGGCCCCAGCTAGAATCCACTTCCCGGTCTGGCTGGCGCAGGTCTTGCCCAGGCTCTGGGTCCTGTCCCCCGACTTTCACTGCTCCTTTATTTCTCTCCTTCTCTGTGCTCTCTGTTTCTGGCTTCATTCCATTCTTAGTCTCTGTGACCTGAGTTCTCACCCCATCACTACTTCTCCTCTCCACCAGACAGGACGGCAGACAATCCTCCTGTCTGTCTGCTCTCCTGCTGGGTGCAGGAGTGGGCACCTCTTTCTTTCCCTCCCATTCTGATATCTTGTCCTTTATGTTAAGGGGCTTATGCCGGGGTCCGGCTCTGGCAGATGGGCAGGGGTTCTGAACGCCTCTGAGCTGCTTCTTCCCAGCCCTGCTGGCTTCTGCAGCTGGGTCACTGATGATCATATCCAAGTTGAACATGTCCATTCTTGACTCTAGCGGGAGCCTGCGAAGACCTTCCAGGGGGGACCTTCTGAAGCCCAACTCCTGATCAGTCTCTAGGAAAGGAATGGAGAGCTGAAGTGGATGCCTTCGAGGGTCTTTCTCAGTCCTTGGACCTTCCACCTTGACCCTGCACAAGAAGGACAAACAGCAGGTGAGTGATTCTTATTGTTCTTGGCTGGTCATAGAGATTTGCCAGAACTTAGATATAAATGTTATATGCAAATCTTACAAACCATAAACATTGAAACCCCTATTTTTTAAAAAATCACTTTATGAGCAGGGTGTGGTGGCTCATGCCTGTAATCCTAGCACTTTGGGAGGTTGAGGTGGGAGGATCACTTTAGGCCAGGAGTTCAAAACCAGCCTGGGCAACATAACAACACCCTAATCTCTATAAAAAAATTACAAATCCATTTTGTATTTTTCTTGGAGAGACAGCATGGTGAAATGAAAGGAGCAATTGAGTTTTGGAGTCTGATAGGCTTGGGTTTAAATCCTAATTCTGCCACATGACCTTAGGCAAGTTAAGTCCTCTAAATCTCAGTTTCCATCTCTGAAAATGGAGATAATAATATGGGCCGGGCACGGTGGCTCACGCCTGTAATCCCAGCACTTTGGGAGGCTGAGGCGGATGGATCATGAGTTTAGGAGTTTGAGTCCAGCCTGGTCAATGCAGTGAAATCCCATCTCTATTTGTCTTGAACTCCCGATCTCAGGTGATCTGCCTGCCTCGCCCTCCCAAAGTGCTGGAATTATAGGCGTGAGCCACTGCAACTGGCCTGAAACCCGGTCTCTACTAAAAAAAACAAAAACAAAACAAAAACCCAAAAATTAGCTGGGTGTGGTGGCGCAAACCTGTAGTCCCAGCTACTCAGGAGGCTTTGGCAGGAGAATTGCTTGAACCTGGGAGGCGGAGTTTGCAGTGAACAGAGATCACGCCACTGCACTCCAATCTGGGCAACAGAGCAAGACTCCATCTCTAATAATAATAATAATAATAATAATAATAAGCATCTAATAGGGTGACCGTAAATATTTAAGGAGCCAGCCCACATAAAATATCCAGTATCTTATGAGTATACAATAAATGGTGGCTATCATTGTTATAAATTTTTTTTCTTTGATGAAATAGGAGGCGGATGCCGTGGCTCATGCCTGAAATCCCAGCACTTCGGGAGGCCGAGGTGGGTGGATCATGAGGTCAAAAGATTGAGACCATCTTGGCCAACATGGTGAAACCCCATCTCTACTAAAAATACAGAAATTAGCCGGGTGTAGTAGCTGTAGTCCCAGCTACTCAGGAGGCTGAGGCAGGAGAATCACTTGAATGCAAGAGGCAGAGGTTGCAGTGAGCTGAGACCATGCCACTGCACTCCAGGTCCCGGCGACAGAGTGAGACTCCCCTCAAAAAAAAAAAAAAAAAAAAAAAAAAAAAAAAAAAAAAACAAAAAAAAAAAAAAAAAAAAAAAAAATATATATATATATATATATATATATTTTTTTTTTTTGAAAGAAAAACATTTTTAAATTAGTCTAACAAGAATGAGAGTATCTGCGTTTTCAAATGCAAACATTCCTCTCCCAGCAAAGGTTATGACTGAGCACAGTGACTCCAGATGTGCCAATATTAGCTGATACCTCACGGTGCCAATTTTCTGGATGTATAGATCTGACTGCATGGAAATTCTGAAACTCCAGTTAAGGCTGACCGTGAGGGATGAATAATTAGCAATTTCATGCATCCTATTACTAGTTAGCTTTCAATCGCAAAGGTTGTTTGTGTAGAGACTTCTTCCTCAGTGGAGACATCAGCACATAAATTATGCCGCTGTTGTTAGTTGCGCAGCATAAATTAGAAATTGGAGAAAATGCAAACACAGTTTTTTGGCAAACACATTTTCCTATTTTAAAGATGGCTATCAAGGCAGAATTCCTTATTTAAATAAGCAATTAGGATTCATAACAGTGTGTTTACAAAAGAGAAAATATTTTTAAATTGTTCCGTCGCCACTGGGGACATTAGCATGAATTCAGATTTTAGTCAGAATCAGAATCAGTTTGTTATTTCATTGAGGGTTCAAAAGGCAGAAGTGACAGTCCTTGCTGTCACAGTACTAGAGGCAAGATGGAGAGAGAGGACAGACACACACATTAAAAACACGACAAGGCTGGGCATGGTGGCTCAAGCCTGTAATTCCAGCACTTTGGGAGTCCAAGGCAGGTGGATCACAAGGTCAGGAGTTCAAGATGAGCCTGGCCAATATGGTGAAACCTCATCTCTGCTAAAAATACAAAAAATTAGCTGGGCGTGGTGGCACTCGTCTGTAGCCCCAGTTGCTTGGGAGGCTGAGGCAGAATTGCTTGAACCTGGGAGGTAAAGGTTGCAGTGAGCTGAGATCACGCACTCCAGCCTGGTGACAGAGCGAGACTGCGTCTCAAAAAATATATGTAAATAAATAAATAATAAAAACACAACAATCCAGGTTAGTGCCTGCATGGAGATGACTGATGATCTACAACATAGTTATTAATGTTATGTGTGCTGTAAGGCACTACTGCCTAGTAGCTAAATACATGGGCTTTGGAATTGAGTGACTTGAGACTTGAATCCTGAGTTTTTCATCTGTCTTCTATAGACTGAAACTTTATGAGTCAGAGGCCACATTTACGTTGTTCGCTATGCCTGGTGCATAGCAGCTAGTCAACAAATATTTATTCAATGAATGAATGAATTCATGAGTTAACATATGTAATGTGCCCAAAGTACGGCACACATTATAAATCTTGGTATCAATAAATGGTAACCATTGTTATTGTAAGTATCACAGTTGTTGTCTAAGAGCCTAAACACATGGAGTGACTTTGTAATCGTGGAAGCTCTGTCTGAAAACTCGGATGGAACAAAGGATGACTTGCTGAAAGCTCACGCTGGATTTACAAAACTCAAGCAACAGAGACAAGGATGCTGCCACCATTCTATGAGCCCCCAAAGACAGAGTTCCTGCTCCAGGGTGGGGGGCGGGTGGTTGCTAGTTTCTAGAGTTCCTATTTCCAGGATTCTCCTGCCCCATGAGGGCCATAAGGATTCTCTCGCCCCATAAGGATCTGGGGTGCAGAGCTGACAACCCCTCAGTGTCCGCCAACTGCTTTGTGGAATGTGAGAGGATCAGAGAAAGGGCTCCATCTGGGGAGAAGGAAACAACCACGCTGATATTAGATGGGAAAACTGACTGTGGACAGGTACAGCTGCAAAGACTTAGGGCTCAAACATAATTAAAATACCTGAACATCCTAGTAGTTAGAAAAATAAACCCGGGATTGGAATGTGTCATGAGGACAGGGCTGAAGTCGCCAGGGGATCATCCTTTCCACACACCGGGAACTAGTCAGAGTCTCTCTTGACCCCTTTAGCCTGTAGCCTTAAATGACTGCCATGCATGGAGGTGGTCTGCAGGAAGCTCATTAGAATGACCTGGAAAAGGGCTCCTTAGCTCAAGGAAGCAGGATCAGTGAAGATGGAAAGGCATAGAAGAGTAAGGAGCTGGGCCAGCGTCTACACTCTTAGGGGAGAAGCGTTCTTACTTGTCAGCCAATGTGTAGCTCAGGTTTTCAGTCTGGCTGTGGCTGCCCTTGGCCGGCCTGCACACTGTCATCATGTCAGCACCAAGGGGAGCTCCAGGTCACCTGCGGGGACAAAGATGCACACCCAGTGAGCCATGACAGCTGGGCCTCCCTTGGAGGGGAGCAAATCTAGGGCTCACACCCCAAGCTATTCCTGATAGATTCCACCCAGGAGTGGGGTGGGGGGCGGGGGGTAGAAAAAACATGCTATTCAGAATCCCTGGCCCAGCAGGTGGGGCAAGGGTGCAATCCTGAGGTCCACCCGGATTCAAAACTCATGCCAACCTCTTTGTATATATATTTTTTGTCCGTTTGTTTGTTTTTTTTTGAGACAGGATCTGGCTCTGTCTCCCAAGCTGGAATGCAGTGGTGTGATCTTGGCTCACTGCAACCTCCGCCTCCTGGGCTCAAGTGATTCTTGTGCCTCAGCTTCTCCAGCAGCTGAGTTTACAGGGGTGCACCACCACACCTGGCTAATTTTTGTACTTTTAGTAGAAATGGTTTTTCACCTGTTGGCCAGGCTGGTCTCGAACTCCTGGTCTCAAGTAATCTGACCGCCTCAGCCTCCCAAAATGCTGGGATTACAGGCGTGAGCCACTGCGCCTGATCCTTTTTGTATATATCTTTATTTTTTTTTTTTGAGACGGAGTTTCTCTCTTGTTGCTCAGGCTGGTGGAGTGCAATGGCGCGATCTCGGCTCACTGCAACCTCCGCCTCCTGGGTTCAGGCAATTCTCCTGCCTCAGCCTCCTGAGTAGCTGGGATTACAGGCACGCGCCATCATGCCCAGCTAATTTTTTGTAGTTTTAGTAGAGACGGGGTTTCACCATGTTGACCAGGATGGTCTCGATCTCTTGACCTCGTGATCCACCCGCCTCGGCCTCCCAAAGTGCTGGGATTACAGGCTTGAGCCACCGCGCCCGGCCTATATCTTTATTTTTTATTTATTTTTCTTTTTTCTTTTTCTTTCAAGGATGTCCTAGAATGTATATATCTTTTAGCCAAGGTCACCAACAATTTTAAGAAAGCATACAAACTTAGAAAGCAAAACATAAATACCAATGCTTTTTCAGGCTCTCTGAGAACCGCTGTGACGAGCTAGGAGTCCCCAAAGAAGAAAGTAGCTGCCCCTTTATTTGACACAAGCCATAAACCACACACCAGAGTGGAGTTGTCTTCACAGGGATACTCTACCCTTCTGCAAGCCCTGACACTGGGTGTAAACCCACGCTGCCCTTGTCCGTAGAGCCCCCCATGGGAGCCCCTCCCAGCTGCTCCAAACCCAGGAGGAAGAAACACCCAGTCACAAGGTCATCTGTCTGGTCTAAGAACACCAGGAGATGGTCTTGGCAAACCCAGGAATCCCACTGAGTTCCTTAAACCACCCCCCACCAATAGCAAGGCCTGTGTGGATACCAAGGCGGCAATCTCAGCTTGGAAATAGCAGTTAAAGACTGGTGCCTGGCCCCAACATGAACTGAAGTAACTGATTAAACTTTATTACTTC